AGGCGGGAGGAGAAAACGCGAAGCTCCTCGATAGAGGTTTCGCAAGCTGACCATTTGCCGCGGATGTCGTTGTCAAGGAGCTGTTGCGAAGATTGGTTGATCTGTAGGGTGATCCTCTCTGAATGGGTACGAGCGAGGGCAGGATTGAGCGAGCGAGGGCGGGGAGAAGCGCCAAGACCGGTCCAACCACGGGGATCGGGCTGATGGGTTGGGGAACCATTGCCGACGCGGCGCGCGTCAGGGATGAAGTGGATGTGAAGGGCGACGAGGGCGGCGACTAGGGCGGCTTTGAACTCAGTGGCTCTCTCCACCTCCGTGTAGGAGCGAAGGTAGTTCGCAAGTTCCGTGATGATGATCCGGAGGACGACACCTGCAGTGCCAGCCTTGTAAAAGGGAGCGCGTTGACCCTGTCGGTCAGAGATTGCCCATGCGTACATGCGGTCCACGAGAGCCTCCATGGAGCAGTTACCGATTGTGGAAGGTGGCAGAGCGTCCGCGATGTCGTCTTGGGTCAGAGCAATCAAGTGGACAAGGTCGGAGAAGGTAGAGTTGCCGGGTCCGAAGTCGAGAGGGTCCGCAAGTTTGGCCCACCGTTGGTGAGTGTCGACGCGAGACTTTGCCCAGTCGTAGGCGTCCAGTGATGGATCCACTACGATGTTCTTAGTCTCATCGCGCACCGTCTGTGCGATGAAAGACTTGATATCTTGCAAGAACGCGCGCGCGACGATGACTGCCATGATCTTAATACGGTGGCGCGCGACATCTGACGTTCCGGCGTCCTTCGAGGAGGTGCGTGCGATAGTCAGCCGGATGTGGAGGAGAGTGTGGTATTTCTGTGAACGATTAATTAATATAGTCCGGGTTATGCGGTGCAGTTGCAGCGGGCCAATGCCGGCGCGACGGAGAAAGCGAGAACATCGTTCGAGAGAGGGCGGGCGTACAGCGTGCGCGCAGCGGTCACCCGCCAGGTGCACACCGGGTGTGCAGCGGTCACCCGCCAGGTGCACACCGGGTGTGCAGCGGTCACCCGCCAGGAGTGCAGCGTCCGCGCAGCGGTCACCCGCCAGGTGCACACCGGGTGTGCAGCGGTCACCCGCCAGGAGTACACCGGGTGTGCAGCGGTCACCCGCCAGGAGTACACCGGGTGTGCAGCGGTCACCCGCCAGGAGTACACCGGTCTTCACTGTACATCATCAAAGAACGAACACGTACCGTAAAGTAGTCCTGCCCATATGTCAACTCAAGCGAGCGACGAGTGGCAACATACGGGTAACCGGTCTTGGGGAGTACAGGCCAGGCCGTGAGGGAAAGGGAGGGAGTGACACCATGCGCGCCGCCGAGGGTGACCGCTGAGCTGAAAGCAGGAAACCCGTATTCAATGACCGAACGGGCAGCCCAAAGATGATTCATGAGTCCCGTAGCGAGAACCTTGGCTGCACCAGTGTGGGCGAAGTTAACCAGCCGTTCGAGGACCGCAATCATCTCCAGGTCCGCAGGGTCCGGACGAGAGGCAACGTTACGTGGAAGATGCGGCTTGACCTTCTTCCAGAACTCTTTCAGTAATTGCACGACAGGGTATGTGAGCCATATGATCATCTCCGGAAAGATCTGCAGATACGGTTAAGCCAGCAGGAAGGAGATGTAATAGAAGAGACAGCACTGACGTTTTCCTCAAAGACGATGCTCGCGCCGGTGATTGCATTTTGAACGGGGTAGAAATGACAGGCCCTCGCCAATGGGAAGACGATGCGGCGGTAGAAGTGGTTTCCGCTCTGATATCCAGGTTTCACACGGCCCATGTGGATGAGGTAGACGTTTTCGAATCGCAGAAGGGTCTGTTCGGGACGACGGAGCTGGGCGTTCAGCTCGTCGTGGGGATTGCGGATGTTGCAGGACCGTAACAGATTGCCTGCGGTGGTCTTCTCTTTCGGTGTAGTGGCCCACCCTCCAGCCGCCGTTGCTGTGAGGAGGCCGCGCTGTGCAATGTGGTGCTTGGTGGATTTGCGGGTGTAGTGGGCGATATCATTATAACACTGACTCTTGACGGGCTCCACGGCGGCACTTCCCTCCTCGTGAGCGGCAACAGATCGTGAGATGGCTGAGACGTGGGGCTTAAGCACGTCAATCACGGTATCCGCCTGCCACTGGCCGACCGTCTTCAGGAAGGCGGTGGGGTAGAGATGGTAGCCTGGCCTAGTGCTGAGGAGCGCGTCGACCTCGACCTCGTCGCCATCTTCATCCACTCTCGCGATGGCACCGTCCTCGTCGTACTGCCAATGCATCGCACTGGTCGATGTAGGCGAGAAGAGGTTGGGCACGGCGGCGAGATTCTGCAATGCACCGCAGGGAATGTATGGTTCGCACACGTTAGCAAATCGACGGGCGATACGATGACCGGAGGAGTCAAATAGAGGAATTTCACGGTCGTCGGCGTCAGAGACAGGATAAGTGAGCACATCGTCGATTGGCTGCCGTGTGGCGGGGTCGGGGGAGGTGTAAACGGCGCCCTCATACTGGGCCGTGATTTCCACAGGGGGGAGGTCCCTCCAGCTCTCCACTTTGGAGGCGCTGTAGACGAGGCAATGAATTATCATTCAGTAGACATAACGTGAGCCAGACGCACCGGTAGTGAGTGGCGATAGCAACGGCAACGCGGGAGATCTTGGTGTAATCGCACTCTTTGGCCCAACTCGCTGCATCGGCGTTGAGAGTCTCTGCGTTGCAAGTGACGAGGTCTTGGCCGTACTTGATTGCCATGGCAGCCGGAATGCGTCCGACGAAAATGGGGAGTTTGTATGTGGCCGGCGCATCGTGCCACCAGTGCGCATACTCTCGCTTGATGGTGTCGTTGAGAGTCTTAAGGCGTTCCACAGACAGATCGTATGGACCTTGTTTGCTGTGGAAGGGGTCATCTAAGCCGTTGAGACTGATATTATCGGGGCAGCAGACAGAACTTACAGGAGTTGGCCGACGGCGTCCGTGAAGTTCTGCTCGGAGGTGACGTCGGGGTACTTGTTGCCCATGTAGTGATTGCTGTACAATGCCTTGTCCAGCATGACCAGAATGCACGCGATCGAGATGCGGGCGACAACTGGTTCCATGTTGCTGGGACCCGTATCAGCCGTCATTAGCTCGGGGGAAGGATAGGCTTCAAGGGCTTGGGCAGGGAAGAGCGTCCACCATACGGTTTCCTGGCCGGGGGCGTCGCCGATGCAAAGCATAGCACCACGAGGATTGAAAGCAAGGACATTCAAATCGCCCCTGTAAGTCCAATGACGACGATTGAACATGATCGGGAACGACCACGACACGCGACCAGTGGCCTCCGGGTTGTTGCAGTTCGGGAGGACGGCGTGAAACCCGATGCCCTTCGGCACCCGACAGAAGTAGTCCAGACGATGCTGTTGGAAGAGTGTGAGAAACGAGCGCATGACGAGGGCATTCTGCACTCACCTCGAAAACCTCCCACAGAAGATCCTTGTCATCGGACGGGATGGTGAACTCGTCGTCTATTTTTATGAAATGCTTGCCCTTGAGGACGTTCATAGCCGCGCGCGAGTCGCCGGTCTCGTAGAAACGCTTGAGGTCGGAGAGAGCGAGCGGGGTCGCTTGCTTGTCCTGATACGAGCCATAAATGGATGCAAGAGTCGGGTCCCCGTTCAGAATGCTGGCATCCAAGATATTTTCAGACGCGGGGTCATCGGTGGAAAGCGTGGGGGGAACGGAGGCGAGGTCGAAATGGTAGGTTGCGCGGGTGTCTTGTTCGTCGTTCGCGGGGTCAGGCCCATTGTCGAATGCGCGCTCTCCGAGCACAACGCCGGCTGCAACACTAGAAATCCAGGTAAGGGAAGCTCATGTCATGAGGAAAGCCGACTCACAGGTCTGCAACGTGATCCATACCGACGTAGTCCGGATTTTCGTCCTCGGCGAAGTCATTAGAGCTGGTGTCACTGTAGGACATGACGGGGAGACGTGATCGCCGGAAGCAGCTGTCAAACAGAGCGCAGGGGAGGATCGACAGGGGGGATGTGTAATTAGAGCTGGAGAAGCCGGGGAAAGAAGTCACCAGTCCTTGCCAGCGCAGACTTCTCAGATGCGGTGCAGACAGTCATCGCGCACACCGGAGCTATAATTTCAGCAGATGTGATCGGGCGAGATCTGGGCCGATGGAAGGACGCACGTTGCAAAAGGACTCCGGACAGAATGTACTTCGTGGCTGGTTTCAGGCGTGAAAGTACGTGTTGAAACGATATGGTAGTACAGTTCTGCGCGTTGAAGCGCGACAAAAGGAGAAACATGCGGATACGATGATAGTACAAATACGAAGAGCGGAGCTGGACGAGGATACGCCGATTTATCCAAGTGGGAGGTCCCACCCGAGCTGGTAGGCTAAAAAATGTCAAACGTAGCCCTTGACGGTGGGCTTCCTGAGTCCGGGCCTGACGGGGGCCTTCTTTCCGTGCTCGTCAACGGAGGCTTCAGTATCAGCGTCCGCCATGTCCGACGTGCCCGGGGGGCGAGAGGCGCTGCGCGCAGGTGGCTGCATCTTCAGAGCAGTGGACTCCCTCCCTTTGGACTTCTTCCTGATCGGCGATGTGGGCGTACGGGAGAACGCTGGAAACGATGAGCGACGACATGTGGTGGGGAGGCCCATACGCACTAGCTGTCCCCGAGCGGGGCCGCTTCTTGCTCGGATGGTCGACCTTGCTGCTGCCGGCACGAACTGCGCCCATGGCGTCCGGATGATTCTCCAACGGGCGGACCGGGATCGCAGTGACTTGCCTGGGACGGGGAGGTCCTAATAACAGGACAACTGTGAGAAAAAATGGAGGAAGTACCAGATTGCGCGGCGCAAAAATGGCAGGCGCCTTCATCCACGAGCTGACATGCAGCCCATGTGACCTAGGAACTCGAGAGGCGTACAGCTGGCGGGCGACCGCCACCCGTACGCCGGCGGAAGGAGCCGGCGGTCCGTCGTTGTGCGGGTATGTCCAACGGGCGACTGACGGATGCACGCTGTCGGAGAGGCGTGTCGCTAGCGGACGACCGCCAGACGCACGCAGCGCAAGGGGCAGATCGCATAACGTAATCTACTCAGCAGAACACAGACGTACCTGCGGTGGACCCCTCGTGCAGCGGCCGATGATGAACATCAGCGGCGCCCAGTGGTGGCGTGAGTGACTGGGTGGTAGTCGGCGCCCGTGGAGGCGACGGCACGATAGAGGGGGAAGGCGGAGGCGCAGATCGAGACGCAGCCGGAGCAGTTCCCTGCTGTGGCGCATATATCTCGCTGTCGCTCAGCAGTTCCGGAAGCAGCATCTCAGTATCGCTGGCAACACTATAGGAGGCGGAAATGTGCTGGGTGGAGGCAACGGAGAAGTTGACGTCCAAGGAGGAACCCTGCGAGGGCATCTCGTTGTCGATAGCCGTCCAAACTCTATCCGGCGTGGGGGCAAGGCCATCCTTCTCGCGCACCTCGTGGGGGCGCATCTGCCCCTCCTCAGGGACCAGTTGCTCCCGCGTAGACAGCTCGATGTCCATGTGTGATGCGTCGGAGAGCGGGCTCAGCGGGCTGCGTAGGCCGGGATCCTCGCTGAGTAAATGTTCTTCGTCCTCGTCATCAGCAATGGACGTCTCTGGAGGGCCATCCGTGTCGTCCTCGTCCTCGTTGAAGAGGTCGGAGTTGTCCACCTCCACGGCCCCGTCGGATTGTCCTCCGTCGGATTGTCTTCGGTCGGATTGGCCTCGTGTCGCAACTTGGGAGTCGTCTGCGCCAGATGCAGTGGCGAGCGGGGACGAATGCTTGCCGACGACCAGCTCGGCGAGGGGCTTCTCGATGACAGGAGCCGTACGAGGTCCGACCGGTCGCGGGCGTGGAGGTCCAAGGCGGGTCCGCGGTGCTTCCGAAGGACGGCGCTTGGGTGCCAGGGCGGGGACTGCGTCGTCCTCACTGTTTGAAGGGCTTGCCTGCTTGGCCTTAGACTTCTTCTGGCGCGTTTGACGAGAACTGGACGCCACCGGCTCGCCGTCGCTGCCGCTGTCGTCCTCCATCAGCTGGAGCGCGTACCGCTGAGGGCCCGCAAATTGAAGCGGATCTTGGCGTGCTTTCTCTCCGAACTCGGCGACCACCAGCTCGAGATACTTCTCGTGGAGCCGCTTGTCCTGAGACTCGAATTCCTCCAGCGAGGTGTACGCGTTCGCATCGAACGCGATATCGCCCCTAACCGGCAGTTCGATCGGCGGAGGGTCCGCCTCACAGTGGACAAACGGGGCGTCGTCGCCGTAGATTTGGCGGAACTCGTTGCGCGTGAAGTTGCTCACCAGGGTCTGAGTGGAAATATGTGAGTTCTAAGTGCACACCGCCCGCACCGCCCACCTACTTACCGAGATCATCCATGAGAGCGCCTGGGACACCGGTTTGGCGATGCGACGCGAGTGGTGCACCTCATCTCGAGGGTGGTCGGACGGGATGAAGTCCAAGGGAGCAATTTGCGCTGCCGGCAGGGACGACATCTGTCTCGCGAGGCTGGCGATCGTCTGCTCAAACTGGCGGACCCGTGTCTGCCGCGCGAGGACGCTGTCCTGCTCGCCGATGGGCGCTGTGAGATCGTGACCGGGCCATGAGTGATAGCCCCAGTGCTGGGGGAGCCACTCGACATCCCAGTTCACCCATCCTCCTGTCAGGCCCAGCTCCTTATGAGCCGCCGGAGTGACATACCTCCAGTGTTGCGGCGAGCGGAACCCACCCATGTACTGGAAGAGGATTTCGCGAAAGAGACTGCCCTCCTCCAACTCGATAAGCGGGAGGTGCCAGTTCGCGTAGAGCCGAGAGAAGACGAGGAGAACTAGCGGGAGGGCCCTAAGATTGCGCTGGGCCATGGTCCTCTTGATAACAAGAAAGTCGTCGCTGTGACGCCGTACCAACTGCAGGGTAATCGGCACAACCTTCGACGCGAAGTCGATGCGAATCGCCAACCTGCCACCCCGGACTGTTGTGCTCTTCGAGCGCGTCGTACGCTGCGCCGGGGCTTCATCTTCTCCCTTGTTTTTCTCCGTATCCACCTTCAACTGTTCGAGGTGGTGCACTTGCTTGCCGGTGGGATATTTGGGCAAGTGGGGGTCGCCTCTCACGGCCCGGAGATGGGGCTCCAGTAGGTTACGAAGTTGGTCGACGTGCCGGCGGTCCTTGGTCTCGAAGTCGCCCAAAAATGGCTGGGTTGCTTTCTGGAGGGAATCGACTTTGTACGTTGGGCCCCCGAATCCAGCCCACGCACTGAGGGGCATTGAAAAGATCTTGTGATGCCTGTCTGCTCTGGGAATGCTGCCTAGGTGGCCTTGCAAGTCGTCCAGGTTAGGCAAGGCGTACATGACGAAGTACCCGATCTGTAAACGGGTGCCGGATGAGATATGTTGAAAACACTGTGTGAAGGAGTGGGGTACTTACATCATGGAACGCCTCGTGCATGCCAATGCACACCTTGTCGTCCCGAAAAAGCTCCAACACGCAAGACGACAGGTCGTATGCGGCGGACTCGTCGCTGGCGGCGCGGACGTCACACAACGGGTCCAGCGTCCGGGCGAACTGTGGAGGGAATCGCGGTCAGCTCTTCGTCCGTTATAACCGGCGTCGTCCTGGCGGGTGGCCGCTACAGCTACGCCGAGTCGCTCGCCGGAGCACTGGCCGTCGCCAGCGACTCACCGACGAACAGGATACCGTCGTCGCTGATTTTACGACAGGATTCGGAAGAATGCACGTACCCATCCGATTGCATCCGTGTACTCGGCAAACTTCGTGAATGCGTCGTTGATGAAACCATGAGTCGGGAGGGGGAAGTCGCAGTAAGGGTTATGCTGGGCCAATTCCCGCATCCACGCCCATTTCTTCTCCGCACAGAGAAGGGTCTTGTACCTAACCTCGTCCTGCGATCGTGGCACAGACGCCCGCATCTCACGCCAGACCCTGACAACAAGCTTCGTGACCGCCGCGTAGTACACGCGGACCGTTTCGCGCCACCAAGTGCTCTCTGCTCCGTTGGCGTCCGCTTTCGTCTCCTTGCGGAGGTCCCAGCGATCACCGAAGTGGAGCCGATACGTTATGTCGATCTCCTTCATCAGCGCATCCGGCCAGACAAGATTGCGGTCAGC